TAGGTTTTGAAGTCATACTCAATAATAGTTTTAGACTTATCCAAGTGGGAGACTGTTGGATTAATGTCTAAGTCCATAACTATATTTGGGATGTACTTGACCCGACCCGACATGGTCCATTTGGGTTGCACTTCACCGGCACAATTTATATGGATAGTCTTTTGAGAATAGTATATTTTATTTATATTAATATATTATAAGTTCTAATATATTAATATGGAATCATATTATTTAATTAGTATTGATCAAGAATTAATTTAGAATTAAGTAAGTGATCAAAAAGAACTAATTAAATATGGACTCTTATATATATGGAATGGGCCAAGTTCATTTAGGTTGGGCTAAGCTTTCATGGATGGTCCATGGAGCTTTTAACCCCATGGATCCTATGTAAATGAAAGGTCATGGGTATTAGGGTTTACATGGATGTAACCCTAATCCTCCATAATATATAAAGGGGTCCTTGGCTCACAAAATTGGCACAAGTGTGTGAAAATAAGAGTGGGCCGATTTTAGTGTGCATACATATTCTCTCAAGTTCTTCCAAGTTGTTTTGGTGATTTGTGATTCCCTTTGAGGCTTCCATACTATTGGGGCTAAGCTCTTAAAGCTTGAAGACATCAAGCTACATCAAAAGGTATGTCATCTAACTAGAACTTTGTAGTATAGGTGCTTCATAATATGCTAGTTAGGATGAAACCTTGGAATAGTTAATATTTGCATGTATAATAGAGAAAACATAGATCCAAGGTTTATAGGGTTGCATGTACACCATAGGAGTGTTAGAATGCTCAAAACCCAACAATAACCAGTCAGATAAACATGCATATCTACAGACCACTACCGCATAACAACATCCTATATCTCAGAATACACATCTAACATATTACTACTATATAAGAACACCCGATATACCAAAATACATAATCCACTGGGCCGACATTGGTGCCTTCGACGCACAATTACAGTGAGGAAAACTCAACTCTCAGTTCGAGCACAAGCTGAATTAATCCCTCCTCTGAAATCGGCTCTACCCGATACATATTATTCAAAATATTGCCTAACTTAAATTAATAGCAAATTACCCAAAATATCCTTTGGTCAAAACTGGTCAGACTCAACAAACCAGTCGAGTCGACCCAGCCTCGTACGCGGGGCGTACTCAATCGCTGACCAGAATACGGGGACTTGACCACGTACGTGCAGCGTACCATCTGGTACACCCAACGTATTCAGCTGGATGCTTTCCCAACTCATTAAGTGCTTAACAATTAAGCCCTTACATCCAAAATTACAGATCCAAGCCCCAAATGTTGTCCTTGACCATAAAGCTTCCAACTTTATGGTCTTGCATGACCCTTAAGTGCTTAACATTAAGAAAACCCCAACATGTTAAGCCATTAAGACAACCAAATTCATGCATGGGGAAGAACTAAGAGCCAAGATCATATTTTTATGGTTCCTAAGAGCTCCATAATGGATAAAGTTTCCAACTTTATCCATTAGAATGGTTCCAACAAACAAAATCTAGTCTTTAAGTCTCAAAGGGACCAAAAGTGCATCTTTTTCAACTTAATCCATTAAGTCCAAGACTCCAACCTTCATATCTGAATCAATATGATGTTTGGATGGATAAAGTTTCCAACTTTATACATAACAAGGTCACAAACTTACAAGATATAAACTTTATGCACTTAAAGTGACCAAAATCTCATAACACCCAAACCTAGCTAGATCTACCAAGTTCATCATCAAGATTCAAACTTTATACCTCCAGAAGAAAGATCAAAGTGGACAAGGTCTGGATCTACAAGCTTAAAATGCAACCAATGCTTCTTCAATGAGTTCCTTCTTCTCCAATGTGCACCAAGAACACTCCCAAAGCACTTAAAAACACCTTCTTTTTGCTCACCAGGCTCAAACTAGGGTTAGGGTTTCAAGAGAGGGTGTTGCAGAGGTGGAGGTTGAGAATGGAATGGGTTTGGGGAAGCTAAGGAGCTTAAATAGGGCTCAAACCACAAAAATAGGGTTTGGGAACTGATCACGTACGCCCAACGTACTCCTAGTCTGCCCAGTGTACTAGGGATACCCTAGTACGCCCAACGTACTCCCCATATGCCTAGCGTACACGGCAAACCCAAAAATCGCCCTAACTTCAAACGGTCGTAACTTCTTCGTTCCACCTCTGTTTTCGACGTTCTTTATATCCACAGAAAGGTGTTGAAGATCTCTATAATATTATCTATATATCTTGGATTAAAAACTTTTCGAACAAAAATCCATATTTCATGCAAGAACCCGGCCTATGACTTTTTCCTTTTCCACCCTTCGTCCTAAAACACAATTAAAGGGTTAAATCCCTTAAATAACATTACCTCCTTCCACAAGGACTAAAATTTTCCCCCTTAACGCCCAAAGCCGTACACAATCGACTTCAGGCTCACGACCCAGAAATTGGAAGAAACAGGATGTTACAATTCTCCCCCACTTAAATTATATTTTTTCCTCGAAATCAGCTCTCGCTTCCACTTCATGATACAACCCCTCACATCAACCAAAGTAACCGAAAACCTGCAGATTTGATCGGCTCTAAACCTTCTCGGCCAAATGCCATCATGCTAATCCCGCACATAAGTGAACCATCGTGACACGAACCAACTGGTTAGACACCAAACTAGGCCACACTTCTACTTGGCTTTGACAACCCCACTTAGCTATATACTGACAACACTCAAGCTTACCCTTGATCCATTAATCGAAAACAACACTCAGGATTACCCCCGATCTACTAACCGATAACAACACTCGGACTTACCCCCAATCCACTAACCAATAACAACACTCGGGCTTACTCCTGATCCAATAACTGATAACAACACTCGACTAACAAGACTTAAATGACCTTACCAGGTCTTCGGGTTGTGACTGAGACCTCCAAGCCACAATCAAACAAGAACAGACAAGGAAGCCCTCATCACATCCCCCAACCTGGGCTCCTAACACCTAGAGTCTAAAGCACAAGCATGCCCTACATTTGATGCCAAAACCAAAAATAACACGACTTGAAGGGAAATCCAACCGCTGACGATGATCTTGATGCGAAACCAGAAGATTCAATAGTTGCACGGAAGTCTTGAGCTTGGAGAAGTTTGACTGAGAACCGAACCTTGGCACAAGGTCTTCTTGCTGCAAGATTCCACTCTTCCCCACTTGCAATATGCTAGAATCGGACAACTTCGCAGTCCTTTGATACCCAGACCTGCTTGAACTCTACTACTTGATCCCAACCACTAATATCCACATACACAGGAGAATCTGAACCCACACAACATTCACAAATTCCAACACGCATACAATCGAGGACAAAGATTATTAATCCATTCATAATAAGAATTCAATTAGAATAGAGCTAATAAGATAATTCCATTTTCCTGATCATCCAAGATTTCAACTGAACTTTGAAACACAAACATAAATTACAAATGAATACCAATACCACAACAATTGCTAAATAGAAGATTTGTCAACTCAACTCTCAGTCCTCGGGACTCCGGTTGTCCCATGATGATTGTCGGGTAACTGTCAAGCCAAGGGTGTAGGATCTAGTACCTCACCGAAAACGAGAAAAGGACAACGAGCTCTGATGTGGCCTTCCAGACCGTAATGGAAACAAAACTCACGCACTCCTCTTGCAATCTATACCAAAATTTTCCTCCTCGCCACACCTGTGACATATAAAAGATCTGCACCTCCCCTCAGCTGCTCCTGAACTCCGGCCGGTGGACTTGAACCGTTTCGTTGCAGGCTAGGATTAAACCGGAGCCTGACACTGCTCCCTCACCTGAGTCTCTATCTTAAATTCTTGCCTCCTCGCGGAAACCTGAAGCTCAACGAGCGTACTATATCGTTAGATAGAAACAAACTGTCGAATATCCATCTTGACCATTCCCGAACCAAAGTCTCGCATACCTAAATAGTGAATCCCTATGAACCCTTCTTCCGATACCAAAAAAACTCGAACAGATCGATGATCCTCCAAGCATATTACCTAGTTCTCCCCCACTCAGGGTTCGAACTACCACTAATTGACATTGCAAACTGAACAAATACTCAAACCGGCTAACCTAGACCAATAGTATCCCTAACCCATTGGAATGTATAACACAATGCAAGTTGATCTTTTGGCTAAAGACCAAGCAAAATCAAAGAGATTTCGGATCTCAGATGAAAACCTCAGAAACTTCCAATCATAACCACCTCTAACATCCAGAATTCCATGCAGATGCACAAGCAATAACTGACAGTCCATTGATGACACACTACTAGAAAAACAGCCTTTTACGACGCGCAATGCGTGTCGTAAAACGCTTAGACGACGCGTAAATGCGTGTCAAGGAAGGCTCTGTCATAACGAAAGACGACACGCTTTTGCGTGTCGTCTATTTACGACGCGCATTTATGACGGGCATTTACGACGCACATTTACGACACGCATTTACGACGCGCAGTTACGACACGCAATGCGTATCAAGGAAGGCCCTGTCATAAAGGAAGACGACATGCATTTGCGTGTCATAACCATACGACGCGCGTTTAGGACACGCATTGCGTATCATTAAAGCCCCTGTCATAAATGAAGATGACACACATATGCGTGTCATAAACTTCAGCAACCATTTACGAAGTTTATTTCACTAATATGTCAAATACAAATAATAATTCTAATAATACAAAATAAAATACCATAAATAACAAAGATAATTCATTTCACTAATATGTCAAATACAAATAATTATTCCAATATTGAGTAAATGTAATAAAAAAATGAACTCAACAGAAGTAGAATTTATATACAGTTGCAATATCTAGCTTACTATGTGCCAATAACTCTCTGTGTGTTTGCTTGAGTCTCGTTTCCTCCAAAGCTTCTAGTCATGCCAAAGTATGATATATTAGGGTTTATGTCCAAATCAAGTAAAACATTGCTAGCTTTAAGATCTCTATGGATGATTCTGAAACTTAAGACTAGGTAAAATTTGCTTGCAACCTTTAGGTGCGATAAGAAACTTTGAAACCCTAGCTAAGTTCTTGTAGAATTTAGCAGCCAATCTCACTACATGTTCACCTTGAAGATCTGTAAATTTAGAGTGTATCATACTATCACTAAAACAGTAAAAAGTATACATTTTTACAGAATTTAAGAAAGTAGATAAAAATTTAGTAATTTAATTTACCCTTGAGATTCATCACCACAAAAGAAGATAACAGTTCTATGACAGCTTCAGCCCTATGGTACAGAGTCTCTTCTAATGTCAAATGTGACTTGTGTATCCCATCATCATCATCATCATCATCATCATCATCATCATCATCTACCACTATCCCTTTATAAGAACTAGTGAAACATGTTTTCATTTTCATACTGATTTGATCCATGTCAGCAAGAATTGATTCAAGAAACTGTAAGATCACTGATGATACAACAGTTTCTGTTGAATTGTTTATGATTCTGTATGTTTCTGATCCTGTTGTTTTTATCAAATCCAGTGCCATATCTTGAGCAACAGGCCAAATCATTTGGAGCTTGAGTACATGATAGTGCTAGATTCTACACTTTTTGTAATCTTTGTGTTTGTTATATTACTAGTTTCACAAATTCTTATTGCCCAATCACTGACATGTTTACACCCAATAATCTTTGCAATATCACACAACACCTGATAACATAACAGTATTATTCAGAAAAACACAACTAATTTGAATGAGGTAATAAAAAAAACATTATGGATATATTGTAAAAAAATTATATATTTTTATGAACTACCTAACTATATAAAACTTGGTGATGATGATCAATGAGGCACACGACGATCATTAGATCTAATTTAAATGTCAAGCTCTTTCACATTAAAATCTTTCAGATCATAACTACACACAACTCCATCCCAATTAGAAAGCCTTATGCATGTCAAATATCTCATGCTCATCATCCCAGAGAAAAGTCAACTGATGCATCTTTCCCTTCATTATCAGTGACTTCAGGCATGATGTGTGACAACCCAAATTTTTTTTCCTTGTAAAGTCAAGCTAATCAACCAAAAGTCAGACTTAAGTTCATTGACTTCTAGCCATGTTAAGGGTCATTGTAATGAGTTTTAAGCCTAGTACATTCAAGGAATGAGTGTTAGGAAGTACCTGCTAGAGTCACTGTACAACATTCAAGCCTTAAACACCACCAAAAGGAGTTCACGGCCATAACACATGAGTTTACGACCGTAAACTCAAGGTTGGCCGTAAACTCCCCCATTAAGTCTCATTTCCTTCATTTTTCTTTCATTCTTACACTTTCAACTCAAGAAACTTCCATTCTCTCTCAAGTATCATCAAGCCTTTCATCCTAGATCTTCAAAAACGTAAGTGTTCTTCCATCTTTGAGTTGCTATTCTTCTTAATCCAGTACACCCCTATGATTTCATCCATAAAATCATCTCTTTTGGTTAGATCTTCAAGATCATCAACTTTCACCAAGAACACCAAGAACACACACTTGTTCTTGGTGGCCGAAAACTCCTCAAAGGCCCTCAAAAGTGTGAGTATTCCATCTATCATCTAGTTAGACAAGTTAAACACTAGATCATAGTCTTGAAACAACCACCTTAGCATAAAAATCAACAGTTTACCGCCATGGAATCTCCCTAGGCCGTAAACCTATGTTTTGGTCACATGTTGGCCACAAACCCTTCTCATATCCAAGCATTAGACCTTGAACCCCTAATGGATGATAGATAGGACTTTAAAACACCATCTTGTGCATAATGTTCATGAGTTTACGGCCGTAAACTCCTTGCTTTGCCGTAAACTCATCCATCTTGGCCGTAAACACCTTAAAACCTTTTAAAAGGTTAGTTTTGCTTATCCTCCTGTTGAGCCATAGTCCCACAAGCTTCCCTATCATTCAATCACCCTTTTTGTGCACATTTTACCATGAGTTTACGGCCGTAAACTCCATGGCCATAAACCTATGGCCGTAAACACCAATTGGTGGCCATAAACATCCGTTAGATGAATCACATGTGATTCTAACACTTGGTCCAAGTGTTTCCTAGTCCCTAAAGGTGTTTCCTTGCATGTGGTTGCTTCTAAACACTATATTCATGCCAATATATGTCAATATATGTCATTTAGGACTCGTTTGTGTCTCGGGACTTCATTCGTGGAACTTCTCATCCTTACGCGCATATTCGCTTGAATCACCCACATAAGATGAGTTCATACCCCTGTAATCAATCTTTTAAACTGTTTTAAATGCTTTTAGGGGGGGGGGGGAATACAAGTTGAATACAATGATAATTGTGTAAATGTTTGTTATAAACATCTTTCAAAAGATTACTTAGGTCTTTTATAAGTGATCAAAACATTTCAAAAAAAAAACTCTTTTTAAGTTATGTTGCTTTATAGTTTATAAAACTCCTTTTTAAAGTACAATCATAACTTAGTAGATAAATGAGTCTTTTCTATAACAGTTCAAGTAAACATGCTAGTAAACTATAGTAGTTATAGTTTAGGGGTTCAGTTCATTCTAGATGCTAGAACATACTATAAAGAGAAACATGGAGGTAGATACAATAGACGATAACATAGAGAACATACTATAAAGAGATATAGGGAGGAAGATACAATACATAATAATAGAAGGAACATACTAAGATACTATAACAGAACGAACATACTAAATGCTATAGCAGGAGAACAATACATGATCTAACTATACCAATAATCACTAAATCATTGTTCTAAACAAAAAGTGATAGTAAATTGGGTATACATGATCATATAACTTTAATGTGAATTTACACGGCCTAGCAATTGTTTGCGGAAGTCGTGTTTGGTCCCCAGAATCTCTTGCAGGGAGAGCGTATAGTATGGGTACTATCCATCACATTATGACCTTAATAAAACAAACATGTTTTAAGGTAATCAGTACGTCAGGATGTCAATTCAAAAGACAACTGTGTACTTACATTTTCCCATTACTTTCATATTGTGACAGTTCCACTTGAAAGTTAATGCAAACTATTTTCGAGTTAAGATAGTTATAAACTAGGGAAAACTTCCATCTTTTCAAACTACAAACAGAACATTCGAGTCTAGTACATTCAGTAGAGAGGGACCTACAATGCTAACTCTATGATTCCTCTGTTTATACATCAGGGATATATATTAATCGGATCCGACAGGTAGTAGGATGTGTGCTTTCTGCTTCATTTCCTTTTCCTTGTTTGGTTGTGGGCTTAGAGCAGATTCACCCAGCCTACTATTTATTCGATCTTAGCTATATATATATATATATATATATATATATATATATATATATATATATATTCAATATACACCAAGTAATCATAAGGGGTACCAGGTATGGGCCAGGTCATAGGACACTAATTCAATGCACATATTTATAATACAAAACATACTTTTCAAATAGAACATTTGTTAGACAAAACTAGAAACTTACCAGTAAAGGGTTTAATCCATTTTATTAAACCAGTATAACTTAAAGGACCTTAGGTGGTTAATTCCATAATACCTTAGTTTATACAGCGGGGTTATATATAATTAATACCCGATAGGTAGTTGAATGTGTGCTTTCCGCCTCATTTCCTGTTCCTTGTTTGGTTGTGGGCTAGGGCAGATTCACACAATTAACTATCTGTTCGATATTAGATTATATATAGCTAGTATAAACTAAGTGATTATAGAAGGAACCATTGTGGTTACCATTTTTACTAAAAGAAATAAGAGTTTTCTTAAAGAGTCTTTTCATCAAATATAAAGGAACTATTACAGTTAACTCCGTGAGTACCAAATGAATACGCAAGGGTTATATACAACGATGATCTAACAAAAAATGGGATGTGTGCCTTCCGCCTCATTTCCTATTCCTTGTTTGGTTGTGGGCTTAGGGCAGATACACACAATCGACTGTTTGTTTACTCTGGGTTTTTATATAACTTGTATCCATTTAGTACTCATAGAAAGTATTGTAGAGTCATTTTTACTTATCTTTCATCAAAGAAGGAAATATAGGATTCTCTGGAGGAACATGCGAACTTTTTCTAAACAGAACTTACAACTTACTACAACTTACTTACATCACTAAAATCTTATGAACTCACCAGCTTAAATGCTGATCTACTCTTTCAAAATAACTTGTATTCTCAGGATACCAGTAGACAGGTACGCACACTGGGATTCAGAAGATGGAGCAGTATAGCTTCATGTCTTACTTTGTTATTTACTTTGTAGTCTATGTTATGTGAACCACATACTTTGTAAACACTTTCTTTCTAATTAAATGGTTGTTTATTACTTTGATTACTATGATGCATGTCTTGTGATACTAAACATGACGTCCTCCACCCCCGAACGTTTCCGCCGTTCCGGTTTTGGGGTGTGACATGATAAAAGATGGCTTACGATCTGTCCTACCTGGATGTTTTTGAGTGGACCCAACCACATTTTTGACACTTGTGTTGACTTGTTTTTCAAATCCCATATCATCTACAAGCTTAATCCAATCAGCTGAAAAGGCAATGTAGTGTGTGTTCTTCTCAAACTACATAGAAAATAATAACATTATATGATTTGTATCCATGAACTAAATGATATAAATGTCATAAAATCAACGATAATAATAGACAAAGTACTCACTTCAAGCAAGGCCAGCTTCCTAAAACAATTAACAAGTGTAATGTTGACTTGTTGATAGAAACCCACTCATATCTTGGTCCAATCTCTCTACAAAAAAAGAAAATTGATTCAATCTCTTTAAAAATCATACACAAAAAACTAGCTGCTATTTGGTATATAATATATAAATTACCAAGACAAACAGGAGATGAGGGTTGCTTTGTATTTGCAGGGGAAGTCTTTGTGTGTTCAATTGAGCTTGTGTATTGCACATCAACAGTGAAAAGCACACGATATATTTCTATTTTATTGTTTGACCTTAATATAAATAATTTGTGAATTAACAACAATATGTTTATGACTGGTCAAAATTGGAGGTATAAGGAAAAAGCAAAAAATTGATCTCATCTAAGTTTGACATGCAAGAATTAGAACCAAAAACTATCTTGGGAATCTCATGCAATCACTAGTCTATTTAAGATATACTTATATAACCTTATAGCCCGGAGTGAAGCACGATTGACCACCATGGCATGGAACATCGATCACATCATGAAAAAAATATAAGATGTGAAAAAATCTAAAAAAGCATCACGTCATGATATTAGCATTTTTTTCAAACATATGTTATCCATTCCAGAAATTGCTAAAATTTATCATGGCACATAGATTAAAAAGTTTTTATTTGGCTATGTTTGAGAATAGTATTCAATAATAAGGTATTAGCAAAAAATCGATCAAGCACTTAAAACACAAATATACCTATATTGCCATCCTATTAGTCTTCAAACACTAACATATTTCAGTATGTTGTTTAGCTCCTGAAGAAACACAAATAAACTATAAAATGGTATTTATTAGTAATTCATTCCAAAGCAATAATATAC